GGTTTATGACGCCCTTGCAAGATTCGTCCCGATGAAGTTCCTTAAGCGTCGTCAAATCAAATACTCACCGCATATCAGGAACTTGTTGCAGAAAAAAAGATTATTCCGAGATTTAGACGCTCCGATGACTTCACCTCTTTATCGAAAATTATGCTTTGACATAGACCGACATCAAAAAAGTTTTTAGCTGCTTACGAACACCGCCTTGGGAAACAAAAGTGTACGAAACGCCTCCACCTCTACCTTCGTAGCAAACTCAAATCTAAGTCCTACCTGCCTATCCTGGAAGATCAGAGTGGCAGTAAGCTCCGTAGTGATTATGCTGAGGCGGAATCTTCCGGAAGGTATTTTGCTAGTGTTTTCTCGGAACCTTAGTCATCTGTGAGCCAGGTGGAGTATAGTGCAGTTAATATTCAAAGCAACATTCCGGATATCATTTTTCACCCCTCCGACATTCGCCCTGTACTGAGATTCTGAGAACATCTGCTAGTGAGCCCTTCGATGGGATCCCCCAAATTCTTTCAAGAAATGTCATAATTCCCTTTGCAGACCTCTCGCTAATTTGTTCAACATATCGTTTCTGTTAGGGGAGGTTCCCGGGCTTTGGAAAAAGGTTATTGTTACTGCCATCTCTAAACAACTAGAAGCGGCTAAAGTTAACGAGTTTAGTACTATCAGCCTAACTCCCACTGCTGTCACGGTGATGGAGGAGTTGATTTTTGATAAACTTTTGGCACGGTTTGATAGATGCCATCTGATTCCCGTCGAACAGCATGGTTTCCTTCCTGGGGCCTCTACCTGTACTAATCTCCTTGATACATGGTACGATGTTTGTCGAGCAGTCAATAATGGTAAATCAGTAGATGTTATCCATCTAGACCTTTTAAGGACTTTCGAAAAGTCTGTCACCAGAAGTTGATCAGTAAATTGGAGCGCTATGGTATTCGGGGTAAATCTTTCAACTGGATGAAGACATACCTAATTGGGAGGAGCTTGACTGTTCGCGTCGGCACTAGTTACTCGGGGAGTTACGTTTGCACCAGTGGTGTTCCTCAAAGAGGAGTATTGTCACCGCTGCTCTTTCTGATTTACGCAATTGAGCTGCCTCGGCTGCTCAAAACTGGTAGTGACATTCACGTGCAAATATGTATATGCTGACGACATCAAAATATACGCTGCTTATGAGGATGCGAATAGTGGCAAGGTGCAGCAAACGCTAGCTATCGGTGGAAAGAATGAATGAGTGGGCTTCATCATGGGACATTCCTTTGAACCTCAACAAGTGTTTAGTGATGCATTTCGGTAATGCCATTGCGAATGATTACATGATAAACGGTATACGCCTCCCGAGTGCTAGGTCTACTAAAGACCTCGGAGTTATTTTTGACACTAGTTTGAAGTTTCCTAGCCACATTGACAGCGTTGTTAAGGAAGCGCTGGCTGTTTTATTTCTGATTATGAGAAATACGAGATGCTATGATTCATCAATAATGTTACGCCCCTACAAGGAATATGCGTTGCCCCACTTAGAGTACTGCACACAACTGTGGAGTCCTTCCCTCAAAAAAGACATTCAGAGGCTTGAAAGAGTCCAACACGTGTTCACTCGGATGTTGTGGTATAGGTCCAAACCTACTGCAACCATTCCTCCATACCATGTTCGACTGAAATTATTACCTCTCCATTCTTTGCAGTATCGACGAGTAATGGCGGATTTAATGTTCTGCTTTCGTGTTCTTCGAAAAGTGTTAGGGTTTTCTGCGAGTGAGTACTTTTAGATCAACCAGCGAAAGACTAGATGGGTTTAATCTTCACTATGCCCCTATCCACTCGAAGAACTACTCGTTAATGTTCAATAATCTCTTTAATCGGAGGCCAGGTGGTTCGAGCTTCTGCCGCCCTATGTACTTCAAGCGCCAAACAGTAAGGTATTTAAGACTGAGCGAACTCGACCTCTTGAGCACCTTAGGTCTTCAAGAACATATCTAAGTCTTTATATCTGTTTTGTCGTTTCAGTTAACTCTAACGACTGTCGTCCTTCTGATCCATGTCCAACGTTTACAAGCATACATCTGGAACTATTATCAGGATGATCCTCAAATGCGCTCCATTCTTAGCATTTTTTCTGCTCTTCGTTTGTAGCAGCTCTGATCTTTCCAAATTGTTTCATTCTTAACTGTGTCATATCGTATTGCATTTATTTCTTTATTTTAATACTTCTTTCTATTTTTCGTCTGTCACTCTGGAGCAAGAAGTTGGTTGAGGGTGGTAGAATTTCGATGCTGTGACCTTTGCCTATATGTGTTCCAGCTATTTGAGAAGCCGCAGCTTTCCTTCACATATAGGGGAGGTCCCAGTGTGATACTGATGATGCCTTTGATGCGACATCCTTGCTGTTTCCTTCGTTCCGCTTTTTTACAGTATGTTGTTTTGGCCCTCAGCCTTGGACTCTGCCTTGAGGCTCTCTTCTTTTTCTTCTTTCTAAACATTTTCTTCTGGATTTTGTTGACAGGAACTGCCTCGGAGACCTGCTTTCATTGTTATGGCACACCCTTGTGTGTATTCAAAAAAAATAAATAAATAAATATGTGTTTGTGTGTGTGTGCGCGTGTGTGTATGTACGTATGTGTGCGTGTATGTGGTGTGGTGCATGGGTGCGTTTGACCGGAAATTCTCAACTCCGGCTCCCGAGCACCTAGAGAGTTCAAATTTGGTAATACATAGTACAGGAGGCAGGGTGGGAACTCTTAGGGTGGTTGGAAGGGCCTAACTCCACGTACAGGGGTCAGGTGTGTGCGAAATAAATGCATGAGGAAAGTTCACCACTGCTATTCCCCTATACCTAGAGAGTTTGAATTTTGTGAGAGTACAGAAATGACGATAGGGGGCATAATTAGAATCTGCCCACAGAAGCGGGGCTTGCGCAAAAAATGTCCAGTTGGACCTGAAGCGCTAAAATTTGTTCGCAGTACAGGACTCAAGATGGGAACGCTGATGGTAGGTAACTGGACTAGACCCCGCCCACAAGGGGCGTGGCATGAGCGAAAATATTTTATTCAGACCAGTTGAACCTTTAATGGGTCATTTTATCAAGATGAGCAACAACAGATAGAGACTTCTAATTGGAGGCATAAGCATCGGCACATACTGAATACCACTTGCGTGCTCTCTGTCAAGTTCTGTGTTCCTAAAAACATCATTTGTTCCAAAGAAAAGGTTGGCGATTTGCCAATTATTACAACTCTATAAACCATAAGAAGGGAAGCAAGGCGTTAGCCGGGCGAACCGACTGTTAGGCAATATGGAGCGTTAAACCGTCTTGCCACCGTTTAGCTCGCACACTATAAAAAGGAAGGCTATAATTGCGCCAAGGACTCGAAAATTCTTTTTATGCCTGTGGCGGTCACCTTCATTCTAGCAGAACATTTGTTATTGAGTTCTACTCAATAACAAGTGTTCCTAATCTGGATTCCACATCACAATTGGTTTCCAGCATGCCAAGCCACCTCGATTGCAACTAGCTGATTGGGAAAGCAAAAAATGCTCGAGTGTGGCTTCTAAGAACGTTTAGGCCATTGGTCATCGAATTGCTGAGTGTTGGAGTACATATATCTAACAGGTTATCTCCAAATCACTATCCTTACTACAGTTTGTGAGTGATGCTAGGACATTCATTCTTTTCAGAAATGGGCTGAAAGCAAACAAAAAAAGGTAATGTTTTTCATAGACGTATTTCTCACACTGTCGAGTCCATAACTAGGCTCAACCTCTTCCGAATCCGCTGCCATGCAAGCATTGAGTAATGCGCTCGAGCTGTACTTTTCGACATTTACTACTACCATTAGACGTCCTGATGAAAACAAACGGAAAGATATAGGCCCGTATGCATAACGCCCAGGGTAGGGAAGGCCTACGGACTACTTGAACTCAGTTCCTTTAAATTTGCCGGATGCGTCATTTTTCTGCCCTCGTCTGGCGCACTCCCGTTTAATGTGTTCTTTGAGTGTTGTGCTCACCTGTCCAATGGGGTCCCCACCACCACCGCCGTAGGCTTCACCCGGGGTGTTTATCTCTGGGCTCT